AGTATACCGAATCGAAGTCCCCTTTGTAAGACACGAAATATAATAAAGTGTCAGTAGAGTCGCTTTAACTTCTTTCGCTCCAAGTTAGATTAGGGTACCTTCGATACAGATAGCACCAATAGGTTGCGCCACTAGGGCGCATGTCGGGTCTCGATGCGTAGCCACCTCCACGCGGTGAGACCTGGTAATTGGTATCGTTTTCTTTTGGGAAGTGATACCAAGCTAAGAGCTACGCACCAAAGTTAAAATACGAGTCACAAACCAACTATAAGATAGTTGTAAGTTAGTTATAAATTAAATATAAATTCATCATTAATTAGAAATAAGTTAGTAATAAATTTAAGATACTGAATATTATCTCCAGTAGTAACATGTAAAGTATGAGGAATTAAGGTAAGTAAGGTAAGGTAAGTAAGGTAAGTAAAGTAAAAAAAGTAATTAAAATCTCCTTGCAATGGATAGACTATGTATACTACATGTATTCACGCAAACGATGTGAAATTCATTTGAATAGAATTCGTAGAAATGACGTCACTTCTTAGAATCGGAAGGCGAGCAACCTCCTGTCATGTCATGTTCTCCTGATACAAAATCGCAAAATCGGTCGAAAATTTTACGGGGAGGCTGCAAAAGTATTGTCCGAGAATTCTTGGAAATGACGTCATTTCTTGGAACTGGCTTGACGAGCGAATTCTTATGATGTTATGTACTCCTAATAGAAAATCAGAAAATTGTCGTGAGCTCCAGTCAGCGCCATCTATGATTTTGAACTCGAATACAAGCTTCCAATCCAGAATCATAGATGGCGTTGACCGTTGTCGCTTGAAGTTTTATTCGCGAATTCATTAGATATTTAACAAATTACTCAATTTTCGCGGTTAACTTATGAACTTTTATAATTGCATCGTAAAGGCACACCTTTAAAGAAGTTTCTAATATCATTTTAGATACTAATTTCTCGGTATTTAATTAATTATCAGCAATTATTGTACGGAGTGTTGAAACTATTGTTGAAGATGCTATTGATTTTTCGTTTATTACTATCTTCTATGCAATTAATTTGTAAATTACTTGTACGCGTTATAAAACCCATACCCTTGAGCATCTACTCGTATCATTTTTATTCACATTTCACTCCTAGTTTTGTCTATTATGTAATACCTTTACGAAAAATTATAGCGGTCGGTGTTACGAAATTTTGTACGCCATTAAATTCTTATTAATATCAAGCTAATTAGTAACAAATTGTTTTCGAAAATTGCATAGAAATGTAGCCTATAGTTCTAGCTTTGCGAAGCAACCATTAAAATTCATGAATTAATTACAGAAACTTGTTAATTTGTGATTTTTCACTGTCAAATCCATTTTATCCTTTTCTAACTACTTTCTGTCTTTGTCTGTCACGTGACGAGAATTAGACGACCTCCTTGCTCATTCTGTGTTCCTGTTTCTTTCTTGAGTTTCTGGTCCAAAATCGTAGATGGCGTTGATCGAGTATCGCTCGAAATTCTATCCTTGTTTAACTTATTGAAGGAATCAGTGCCGTATCAACAGGTTGTATTAAGGGTATATTGAATTTATTTATTAACCCTTTGGACTCGAGAGGTGACTCTCAGTGACCGTTTGTTTTAATGCTATAACTTAAATCATGGATGATGATAATTATATTAAGAACATCGAAATAAAATTATTCTATTCGTTCGTTTTTCACTCAAATTCACGATTTTCTTTTTTCAGTTTTAGCATAAAGAGTATCATTGAGCTTATAAAAATCTAAGAAGAGCTTCGAATTGCATATTCACAACGAAGAAATCTTCCAAAAGGGTTAACAGGTTTCGAAGTACATATCATATTTTACTGAACATATTAGACATTTCTTTTTCTAATTCTTTGCTATTTTTACTATTTCATAAAAGAGCATTCTGTAATTATACGTATATAATATTTATAATTAAGTTTGACAATTTATCTTTACTAATAATGCCTTTATTATTAATTTATATGTTATTGACTGCATAGAATATGAACAGTATAAAAATCACTAGCGAAAAGTGAAACTATGAATAAATAACACCATTGTGCATACATGAAACACATACATACACATATAAACACTTGTGTCGTTTAACTGTATAGTTATAATGAATTGTACTCCTTTTCTCGTACACTATTGCATGTTTGCTCCATTGCACTTGATACTGGTACGCGTAACTACGGCACTGTCGAGGCTAAACAAGCCAGCAATGGCTGCCTGGCGGTAAAATCCCGTACATACGTTACCGACGAATATTTTTACGATTTAATCGAACTGAAAACTGTTTCGACAATTTTGTTCCATGGTTTCTTCTTCAGACAAGCCTACAGAATACGATACCGTGTAGGAAATTCGTGTCAGATAAAGAACTCTTTGTAAAAACGCAAGAATACCGCGTAGAAAGTGCACTCGGAGTCTTATTTTTAAATTTTGATGACTAATTATAGTTATCCAGAAACACAAATAATTATAATTATGGACACTGACAAACTCGGGATACTCTCACTTAACTTTTAAGATAAGAATAAATCTCCTAACATTTTCATTTTTTACGTAATACTTCATTTTAGCCTAAAATCGTGTATTTTTTGGAGAAACCTACATTTTTCGGAAACTGAAATTAATATGATTAGATTAAGTTAGATCAGGATATGGTAATTGCAATTATGAATTCTTTTCAAGAAAGTAAACTCTTCAAGAATTACTCAATGGATATTACAGATTCAGATTCGTGTCAAACAGTGTAATTAAATAGCTTTCGGAGAGAAGTGAATTTAAATTAGATATCTTTTATCATGGTATTAGTAAAATAATTACCAATGTTTGATTTTACACGTAGTATGTATATATATACATTCATATAATAAATATATAATTTATATAATTATTATATATAATAATTTATATAATTGAATATTATAATTTTATATTAACATTGTGCCACTTGTTAGTTGTATAATTTATATAAT